CTTGGCAGAACAGCCATGGCAAATCTCACCAAGATAATGAAAGATAAAGACATTTCCATTCATACTAAGAAAAGAATTGTAGAAGCAATGGTTTTCCCTGTAACATTATATGGCTGTGAAAGCTGGACTCTAAGGAAAAAGGAAAGAAAAATGATAGATGCATTCGAATTATGGGTATGGAGAAGATTACTTAGAGTTCCATGGACAGAAAAGAAAACAAATATCTCAATTTTAGAAAAAATTAAGCCAAGCTTCTCCTTAGAGTCAAGAATCTTAAAACAAAAATTGACCTACTTTGGACATGTGATGCGTAAAGAAGTTTCCCTAGAGAAGACTATTATGCTGGGAAAAGTGGAAGGTAGAAGGAAGAGGGGAAGGCAACGGATAAGATGGATAGAAGAAATAGAAAAAGTCACAGAAATGAAGCTGGATGAGCTACGAGAGACAACAAGGGAAAGATCAAGATGGAGAAGACTTGTCCATGAAGTCACCAGGAGTCGACGACGACTCGATGGAACTTAACAACAAATTTACTATAGATCCACAGGTCAGTGACATGGTGTTGTCTAACGAATGGTGTTGTCTAATGAAGTTAGACAACACCATGTCACTGAGCTGTGGATCTATGGTAAATTCTAAAAGGGAAGGCCCTGGTAAAATTTGGACAATGAAGAAAAGTCAGCGGTCCAAATGGAGACTCCATCTCAACCATAGGTATGGCGGTTCCCATCTTTAAACTTCGAGGACATAAGTTCCCCAGATCGTGCAAAATCGTCCAATCGGAAATCATCTCTGCTTGTGAAGGAATACTAGGACAAGATATAACAAAGAAAGAAGGCCTCCTTATCGATAGTGCAAATGAACAAATTACACTGCCAAATGGGAAAATTGTTCATTTTTGCTCAAGCTGTAGACCTCAACGGAAGCCGAGATGACGAAAATTAACCAATCTTATGGAAAAAGAACAGCCGACAGAAGCAATTATGATTCAACTCATGCGTCAAGGCCACAAATCAAAATTACCTAAGGTATGAAATGAAGGAATATTCACCATAGTCACTCAACCTAGCAAAAATAAGAAAAGAAGAAGACAGGAACAAAACCGAGATCAAGGTAACCTGCAAGAAGAGTCTACAAATCAAAGTCCTCCTTCCAGTGCAAATAGAATTTGAATTGTTTGAGCCTCAACTCTGACCCATTTCCACAAAGAAGGAAAAGAAAGAAACTTGGAAAGCAAAGAAGAAATGACAATGCACTGAAAATATAAGAGACCACGAGTGGAACAACTGTCTTCCCCACACCTATGGGAGCAGACAACGGAAGTGGAGACCCGCTGGAATACTGACGTAGAAACCTCCGTCAATCTCCAAAGCGATCTCCTAACTGAAATTTTGGAATACATTGGCAAGGTTAAGTTTCAATCCAGATTTAAATCAGATCCCACCACAAACTACATCTAGATATCATGCTTAGGTTAATGATAGGGCATTTTCCCCAATTAGATTTATAAACTTCAGAGAGAGAGAGAGAGAAAAAGTAGTTGCAACATTTTTGTAACATATATACCTCTCACTCTGTTCAAAGAGGAAATTAGAAACAAACTGATTTTTTGAGTGAACTGAGGAAGTAAACTTTGTGCAGTGATAGAAGAGACTGATGTCAATTCAACAACCACAACACAGTCTACTTGCATCGAACACCTAACCTTCATCAAATGACTTTGAACTGGTGTTGAATTTCTGAACTGGCAACAGATGGTGAATCATCAACAAGGAAACTGTGACAGTAGGTCAACAGCCTGAACGACTTGTCACGATTGTAAATCACGTCTGTAGTGCAGATAGCACATGTAACGTGTCAACTTATAGTCTTTGTTACCAAGAAAATGTTTATTGTTGAAAAAATCCATGTCAAAGAGAGAGAGTAATCTAAATGTTAAAATTATACTTGAAAGTATAATTTTAAAGAAAGTGGTGAATAGTGTGAGATCTGCATTTTTTACGTAGTTGTTGAGGAAAAAATTTGTAAACAACTCTGATGGAAAAAGCCCGCTCTTGGTGAGAATTATATCGGAGGTCATTGTTTGTTTTCACAATTAGGTGGGAAAGTTGACACTTGGTTGATCAGAATGCATCGTTAGTGTCAACAGAAGTCGATCATGTGACTCCTTTCCCACAAAGACAGTATAAAAGCTCAAGTCCCCGGAAGCTCAGGGTGATCCAAAGGAAGTTATACTTGTGAATGTGTGCATCTCCATACACTGGACACAATGACCGAAAGGACATACACCCAACCACAACTTCGAACTTCCATCACCATAATACAGTTCCTGCGCAGACTATGATTCCTATGGCCCATTCAACGAACACGTATCATTCATGTCCTCATATAGGTATTTGTATTTTAGAGCTTTGTGAACTCTCTCTCAGAATAGCTGTTAGAACTGTTAAGAGCAGCCCTTTGTATAGTTAACTCCTATTTAACTGCCTGTAAACTTAATATTATTATCGCCTCATGTAACCTAGCTTAATTATTCAATAAATACTTTGTTATTTTGTTAAACCTGTTGTCTGTCATTGAAAGGACACCTGCCGGCTTACTGACACACTCCCTACTCAATTTGCCCTCCTAAGCCATCCGACGACTTCAAGGCTGGTCTTTGCAAACTGTGCAGTGTAAGTTGTCAGGAGGAGTTGAACCCCTGGTCCTCTGCTTGTCTCATAAATCATTTATTTTTTTTAATTATTTTTTCCAACTTTAAACTTCTACTGTAGGCTTAAATTTGAAATAATATGGTAGTATCAGGATCCAGCCCTCTGTACAGGTATCATTTATTTTAGTTGTGTATAGCTAGCTAAAGAGGGCTAAACATAAGTCCAAAAACATTTTTAATAAAGGCCCTTTCCATGAAAATTTTGCTGCTGATGTTCTTTGGATTGCATTCTTTCAGCCACGAATAGTTGATGCTAGAACATTCATTCAGAATTTGTAATTTTCTAAGTTTGAAATTATGATTAATGTAGCTTTTGTTTAAATATAGTGAATTTATATATTATATTTTGAATAATTGTAAGTATCCCAACATTCCTTGTGAAATATTAGCTTGAATTTAGAACAGACAAACTTGAATTACAGTTTACTTGGAGTTTATGATACTTAAAGTGCTAATTTATATACAGTATATATTTGAAATCAGATGAAGTCCAGTACCAATTAGTCTGGATTTTTGACACTTCACTGTATTATAAACTATACAAATATACTATTTGTACAAAAAACATAATATTACATTATTATATGTAGTCCAACTTATTAAAATGTCTAATAAATTATTTGGAAACAATTTGACTTGTAAAATTTCTACAAGACATATTTTTACAAGAATTCAATGCTAGAGGGACTTTTAATCAAATTACATACAGTCGACCCCCCTATAAGATAGAGATATGTTCCATTCTTTAGGAATCCGATTTCTTACGAATCCTTCCAATCACAACCCGACACGTATCAAGTTTACAGACTACAGCTGTTTGAAAGATTTTCTTCCATAAAATTAATCGATTCTAGACTAATCTGACTCAACATTTCCAAAATACGTATATATTTTTTGGGAATAATCCGTATAAACTACGCTATAAACAAAAAATTGTAGGATTACTTACCGAGTGTCACCATTCGACATTGCCATTGCTCAACATTGTTTTCGTCGCGGAACAGCTCAGCAAAGAGCGGCCGATTTCTAACAACTTATTTTTCTGTGAAAACTTCGTAGAACTTCGGAGACATCATTAATATAAATAATTTTAATCGCCGTTGAATAAGAAATGTTTCTTTCACAAGAAATGTATAAAATTACAGTACTGTATTAGACTTACGGTACCTAATTTACATACTGACAGACGATAGTTAGCGTAATATATGCCGTAGTAACAAAGCTACAATAAGTTAATATATAATTATATATACAGTACCTAATTTATATATAATTAATATATAATTATATGTACAGTACCTAATTTATATATAATTAATATATAATTATATGTACAGTACCTAATTTATATATAATTTATATAATACTGTCCAGACGATAGAAATCTCTCCGTAGCGTGGCGCTACGGACGGCGGGAAAGTAGTTCGGTTGCCCGATGACGTTTGAGGTGTTTATAGGGAACTTTTACTATTTTTTACGGATACCGGTAGCAATTTTTTCGTAGTTTTATAGGAATCGTAATTATAGGGACCGTAATTATAAGGGGGTCGACTGTATTCATAAACAGGGAAGAGCCTCAAAAGAAAAATTAATTCTGCTCATATTAATTGTGTGTTCCTGTAGTTGTGAAGAATGTGTGAAAACATCAAATTTTTATTTTTATTTAGTCTTCAACATTTTAAAAATTAGACTTTGATGGAAATAATGACAAAGTTATTATAAATACTAATGTAATTAATACATTAGGAAATTTAACAATTCTCACTATCATCAAAGTCTAATTTACAAGATGCTTTGCTGGAATAAAAATACAAATAATATTGCTATATATTTTTTGAAAATTTATTTTTTTACATTACATAAATTTCTTTTAAAAAGTGTATTACAGATTCTAAATTAATATTCAAATGTAGCAAGATTCACAATTGTTATAACTATGTTACTGTTCAACTAAGTTCAGATTTATCAATATGTTTCAATCTACTTATCAATAGAGAAGTTATTAAAATGTTATTAATTACTATTACTAAATATTATGTAATTAATAGACTACTTGTAAACAAAAATTAAAAAATAAATTACATAAAAATAATAATGTAAAACTGTACCTTTATTATTTAAAAGCTGTTTATCTTGTTGTACATTCTGCAACTCTAATTTTAATTTGGATAATTGCTGTTCTCTTAATTCAAGTTCTTGATGCATATTCCTTTTCGTTTCAGCCATAGACATTGCATTTTCTTCTTGCTGTTTTTCTAGTTCTTCTAATCGTACTTTCATCTGCTGTAAATCTGCTCTCAAACTAGCTTGAATTTCTGCTTCATTTACCTAAATTAATTTACATAAAATAAGGACTTGTTGTAACTTAGAAAAAAAGCTAAATATACATAAATGTTAAAATTACTGTATTACAATATATTTTTATTTGTTTACGGAAATATATTGATACTATAAGTGGCAATCATCCTGTTTTGAAAAGCTTAATAATCAAATAATTGTTTAATTTAGAATCATCCAAATCATGCTAACTTAGATTGCATTCAAACTACATGAATTTTGAATTTACAATCTTAAGAATTACTTATTGTTGATTGTGACTAGGGATTGCAATTGCTGGATCCCTCATCCAGCAATCCAGCTGGATCCAGCGCATTTTTCGGCCTGCTGGATCCAGCACCAGGTGCTGGATCCAGCGCTGCGGATCCGCAAATACTCAATTAACTTTCTAAATAATGGTGCAAAAGTCTACGTGTCAGCGTTGCCGCTTTGCTAAGTGCGCTATCGCTCGACGGCGAGAGCGACGTTGCCATTCAGTGCAGCAGGTGCTACACTCCCTCTCTACACCGCACCACGCGTCCTTTTACCTCTGCTGATCTAATTGACAGTTGACTTTTCGCTCTCGCTAAATAAAGTGTCTTCGCGCTAAATAAAATAAGTAACATCCTCTCCTAGTCCTGGTGCATAATTCTAATTTACGGTCGATTGTGACGTCAATGAATCACGTGATGGATCGCCGCTTCAGCTGCGAGACACCGGCACTTTTTCGACTTTTTTCTTGAATAAACTCGGTGCGCAATAAAAACGTTATTTATTTCATTTTTCGCAGCTCGAAGAAATTAGAGAATTCGAATTTTTTAAAATTTTTTGAAAAATTTCAGAAAAATTGCAACTAAAAAATGCCAGGGGAGCGTCAGTAAAACACTACATGATCTTAAATGAAAATTGAATTATTTACCACAAAAATGGCTCTAACGATTTGGATCAAACTTGGTTAGTTTAGTGAATTGCGTAAATACATATATAGTGGAACCAGCAGCAATGGCAGAGGAGATTATGGAGGTGGAAAGCGATGATCCAGATAACCCGTATTCCCTGAATTTCACCTTGGAACAAGAATTAGAGATCCAACTAAAGCGTGAGAAAGAAAACTTCATGAAACGGAAAGAAACTAGTACTGAGAAGGATTATGATAAGTTATTAAAAAAGGAAATGGCTGTTTATGAAAATGAGGGAGTCAGAGGTGAAAACTTATCTTTGATTTATAATTATTTGATGACCCTGAAACCAACTAGCGTAGAGGCTGAAAGGGCCTTCTCTGCAGCGGGATATATATGCAGTGCATTAAGAAGTAGGTTGGGAGACAACACCATTAATACTATTTGTTTTTTGAGATCCTACTTCCAGAAAAGTCAAAAAAATAACATGATAACATGTTAAATGACAAAGAAATATTTGATAACAAAAACATATTTGATGATAAAAAAATAATATGAAATAAAAAAATAACACGAAAAAATAAGTGATTGATTTAATTTTATTTAATCCTTTAAAATACTTTATTCAAGACAAGACTGATATTTTATAACTTCTTCTCTAATTCTATTAAGTAAGAGTATTTAACTTTTATTCTATAAGTGGTTAAATTACTTATAAATAACTACAGACTGATATGTAGAGCCTATATAAGAAAACTAGTAAGACTGATAGCCACTTAGCCACTGATTATCCATCCTTACATTATTATAATATAATATATTAAAGTAAATTAATTAGTAGAATTACCTTTGCTATTATTTAACTTATTACATTATAATTATAATTTAACTAAACATTTATAGTTAATTATCTCTATCTCAAGTGTTAAACTGAACCAAAGTTAAGTTTACTACCTAAATGTGTAAGACGTTTTACTGATTTAAAGTGAACAGTCTAAATAATAAAAGGTTTTTGAGTATTTAAAAAAATGTTTTATTTCTTTAAAAAAAAACCATAAAATGCTAAATAGATAGATAAATAACACTTTATTGCACCAAAAATACATCTGCGCTGGATCCACGCTGGATCCAGCTGGATTGATGTTGGTCCAGCAAAAATCCAGCTGGATTGAAAACACTGCTGGATTGCAATCCCTAATTGTGACTCATTAGTTTCAATATTATTCACTATAATTTACCTTAATCTCAAGATAGAATGAATTTTCAGTTTCCAAATTTTTAATTTTTAAAAATTTAATTTTAATAAGTGTGACAGACTGTTAATTTAGAACAGACAAACTTTAATATTAAAATAATGAGCTATATTCAAGATATTTTTCAAGGTTAAAACTAATGAAGAATATTCCTTTAACAGATATAATTCTGACTGCATATTCATAATAAATGTAATTAATGATAAAAGTAATAGAACTGCCCAAACATAATAAGATTTTTTTCAAAATTAAATATTCTTTTCATATATATATATAAAAATTAACCTGAAAATCTTGAAGTTCCGTTTTACTTTTTTCTAGTTGCTCTAAAAGACCGTTCTTTTCTTCTATTAACTGAGTTGTTCGTTCTTTATTGCTCTTTAGAGTATCTTTACATTTAGACAATAACAGTTCTTGCCTTTTTATCTGCACAAAAAATATTGAAAACATATTTAAAAATATCTTTAAAATGTAAATAAATAAAAATTTAAACTTATTGACTATATCTATTCACAATAATACTTTAAAACATAGTTACAAAATGAAAAATCTAGTTGGAAATTTGGGATGAAAGTCTCCCGTGTAGTTGTGGAATGGGACTGGTTGCACTGGATTTTGTTGTTTGCGTGCAGCACTGAGCAGCCACCCAAATTTCTTGTTTAATCTAGTCCTCGGTGCTGCATGCAAACAACAAAATCCAGTGCAGCCAATCCCGTTCCACAACTAAACCGGGCAGACTATTCCATCTCAAATTTCCAAGATATTGCAATAGGGACACAAGTATATTCCTCCACTATGTGACAAATCTAGTTTTTATAGTATGTTATTTGTCTTGATGCACATTCATAAATTGTATTTTGATGTGCCTTCATTGTTATGTTTGTGCATCTTTTTATCATCACAAACAATAACTATCTTTTATATTACAGTCCAATCTTAAATACTACCTACAGAAATTTGATAAAGGATTAAAATAAAGTTTCGAATGTTTTGATAATTATCAAAAATTTGTTTAAACAAATTGGAAATATAAGCCATATTTCCAAATTCATTGGCTCAATTTTGTAAATAAAATACCGCAATATTATAAAAACTTCAAAATAAAACTTAATGGTCTAAACAATTCAAAACTCAAGAATGGCAATTTTGTTGAAATTGATATCTGTAGTTAATAATGTGTTAATTGCTTTTATCAGTGGTTACATGAGCTATGGACCACTTAACTGAGTTGCAGACTGTGTCTGTCCTCTTATTATTTAGAAAAATTCAGTTTAGGATGCATAAAAATGTTCTTTTTTCTGGCCATAAGGCACAGAATTGCATTTAAAAAAATGACTAATTTAGCCTATGACCACCTGGCACATGCTCACAAACCATACTAAAAATCATTGGTTTACATCAGTGGCATCAAACCCACATCCTGTGTGTCACACATGGCACCAAAGACTATAGTGCAGACTGTGGTGCAAAGCTGATGATGTTGAATATGATGTCATTAAAATAATATAATGGAATTTTAAAAAATGAAAATAATTTTATTAATATATTGCAAATTATTTTCAAATAGGCAGCTAATTTTTTACTTTTTGCAATTGTTTACTCAAAATGTTGGCTAGTTCTTGTCTGAAAGATGAGGAAACACTGCTTGATGTACTACCTATGTGAACAATTATTTTCCATTTTAAAGACTAGTAAGAGTTCACACGGAGCAAGATTAACAAATGTGCATTCAACATCTATATTAAAAACATCCTTATAAAAAATTACACTGAAGATAAAGTTATTTCTGCCAGAAAGGGCAAAGCTTCCAGTAAAAATATTAAGTTTTTAAAAATTTTTCTAATTTTAAATTTTGTCGTAGCATTTGATGATAATACATACAAATGATATATATATATATATTTTTAAAATTTTGTAAATTCAATAAAAGAAATAAATGTAAAATTTAAATGAGTTATTTTCGAATATACTTAAAAGACATTTTTTTGTCTGCAGTCCACAGATGCTGAAACTGTATTTGGTGTCCCAAGATCTTATATGAGTTTGACACTACTGGTTTACAACATATAAAAGATTATGCATTTTACATTATTCATTTTTGGCTTTGATGTAAATGATTGATTTTATTTTGTCACAAAATTCAAAAATGTTATAGTTTCTTCAGCTGCTTTTAATATTAAAAAGAACTTCTTTAGCAAACTTGAAATTTTAAGAAAAGATAAAAACTTCTACAGCTATTGTATCTATGAAATTTAATAGAAATGAAATTAGTCATTTCTGTTAATTTATACAGTTATTAAAAAATATATTTAAAGTCACCATAAACAGGTGGATAAATTACAGTACAAAATAATTTATATGTTAACAAAACTAGAATATTATTTAAGACACTTTAAAATGATTATTAACCTTTTCTTTTAACACCGATATATCACCTCCATTATCTTCACTTATATCCTGATCATTTGATTTCTTATCGTCAAGATCTAAAAGATGTGTAGGACTATCTCCCTGAACTTTGTTGTCAATTGCTTCTCCAGTATTTCCTTCTTTTAATAGATTAATCTATTTTATGTATTTTAACATCATTATAATTTTTTTTGCATAGAAATTTCTCAATATAATATAATAATTTTTACTTAATTTAACAAAATATTTTCAAAACCAATAATGAAAATATACTTTAGTTTCCAGAACGTGAATCTTTTGATCTTTCTCTTCTAACAGCATTCGAAGATTCAGTTCAAGATGTGCTTTGGCTTGCTGTTCCAACTGACACTGTTCTCGCAGTTCTGTTATTCTTCTTAATGCTTTATCCTGAGAATCCGTAACTGTACGCTACAAAATTGAATTGCACACAATTAAATTAAATTATAGTTTAATTGTTTGAAATTCAATTTTGTTGTTTTTATAATAAAATTAGCACATACCTCTAACTTTTCTTTTTCCGAATGCAATTCTCTGTAAGCTTTAACTGCCTTAAAAGTAAGAAGTAATGAATTAATTTCAGATAAAATATAAAATGGTTATGTATGTCAGGGGTGGCCAACAAGTTGATTGTGAAGCCAATTTTGGTTGATTGCTTGTGATGTCTTGACTTAATGTGTTACACTTGTAAACAAACACAGTGTGTGAACATAACACGCAAACGCAACTGTAGTGATATCGGACCTCTGCGTCCTCCCTCAGATGCGGTTTTGTCAGTCCATGCGCAATCCATTTGAATACAGTTGCAAAGGGGACGCTCTATATCAGGGGTGGTGTAAAAGGGTAATAAAATATGTAGACAAAGGGTCGTAAAACCAAAAAAAAAGAAAGGTGGAAAGCGAGACAGAGAGAGTAGGCTGGGACGCGGTAGAGAGAGGAAAAGTGAAGTGGTGGTCCCTGAAAGTGATAATGCTGAGTTTCAGTTTTTCTTCTGTTTAACACGTAAGTACCCTTTCTTCATGTTTTAAATTAAATTGTGGCTTTTCTTACTTATCTAAACAATAGTATGTATTTCACACCGCCCCTGCATCACCTAGACTAAGCCTACAACAAGTCGATTGCGACATACTTTTAAGAAAAAAAGTAGATCTTATGTACACAAAAGTTGGCCACCCCTGATATATGTAACAGAATATTAATAGAATTTATCAATGCTTTAAATACTGTTTAGTCGCAAAACATAAAGATAAAATATTTAAAACTGTTTCAAATTTGTTTCATTGTTTACTATGTTTATCCTACATTAAATATTTACAATATTGTCTGTTCCAATTTTTCTGAAAAACTCAATCAATTTTAAGATTTTTTTTTTGTTTTTATGTCAAAAGTATTTACATACAGTGGTACCTCAGGATACAAAATTAATCCATTCTGAAACTGAGATTGTATCATGAAAATGTCATAAGGTGAATCATTTTTACCCATATGATTACATGTAAAACCAAATAATTTGTTCCAACATGAAAAACACACTCAAATTAAAGCTAAGTAGTACATTAAAAAAAAAAATAACTTTAGTAAGGAAAACACTGAAAAATGCATTTTGTAGTTGTAAATGTTTAAATAATAGTGTTGCAACGAATAGTATATTCGGCCTCAGGCTGAATACCGAATATTTGGCTTGATTAACGCACATACAAAAATTGGCGCGCAAACCGTATTATGGCAAAGACCCTGCTCTCTATTGGCCCACTGTCACTACGCTTCGCCAATCGCGTTAATTCTTGACAGTTCAGACAAGAGCATCATGGCATTATGTGATAAATGATAAGTGATGATATCAAATGTGGATAACAATGAAATGACCTACACATGTAAATAACGGAAAAAGAACGGAAGAANCTGCTTTTTGCTTTCTTTCCTTCACTTCCACCAGCACTTTCACTGGATAGAGGTCGCTTGGTAAAATATCTATACAAAGAGGTTTGGCTTTGCCTACTTTTTAAAATGTTTCTAAAATTACTTAGGCAAATGTCATTACTCTGAGCAGCAATACAGCTAGTGTGAACCTTTTTGGAATGTTTCTTATCAATAAAATCAGTCACTTTCTAATAATACCTCAAGATTTCCTTTATCGAGCGAGATCCTTCCATGACAAAGCAAACACGTGGACTGAGATCAACCAACAGAAGTGAATAAAAAACGGCGCTGCGAACTAATGTAACGTCGTATGATGAGTTTTTGTTCGTATCGTGGAGCAAAAATATGTTCGAATTTCATGTCGTATCCTGAAAATTTCGTATGCTGGGGTGTTCGTATCTTGAGGTACCACTGCATATATCTTATGACTGCACAACTTAAGTGTTGTCTTAAGCTGTATTAGATTGAACCGTGTTTAAATTGGCTGAATTTTTATAGTTGAAAATACACTCACATGGATATTAAACAAATGTATGGTAAAAAGTTGATTATCTGAACTTGATGGGACTAGGATTATTTCACATAATCCAGAAACTGTTTTCGTACCAACATGAAACAATGCAATTACTATATTTGAAGAAAAATTAATCTCAAAATCTAACATAATGTTATGTATATGACCAAATTTTATATTGCTACAATTGACAGATAACAGAATAATTTTCATTTACATGGTAAGTTTGGTCTATGTGTATTATACTCTGTGGTTTGTATAACCCTATACGTTCTTGGAAGTTTCTTTTTTTCAAAGCTGTTTCAGATAATCAAGTTTCCACTGTATAAATCCAACAATATAAACTGATTTTAAACTCAAATACATTATATAGATTTACATTAAAGTATGCTAATGCATTCATGACTAATTATATAAACCTAGGCCTATTAATTAATACAGAAAATTTTTTACAGAACTTAGCCCTTGAGTCATACAGTATGTTCTGGACTCAATATATCATTAATCTCATGGGAGAACCTATTAAGATGTAATGATAACATTTTGATCTTACTTTAAGCAAGGATACTTAAAAATGTTAGTTTTCAACAAAAATTAAAGATAAAGGAAATTAATTAGAGTAAAGTTAGAAGTTAAAGTTTATTTACCTCTGAATAATGAGACTTATATTTATGAATGCGAGTTCTCAGTTTTTGTAAGGCATATATGAGCTGTTCCTTACTAATTCCATCTAAATTCAGTGCCTGAGGGTCTTCAACTTCACTCTCGATATCAGACTGAGGAACATAACCTTGTTTAGAATTCTTCATTTCTCTTTCGAATGGATTTTTGGGTTCGGGTTGTTCAATATTAAGAATGGTTGGTTTGGAAGAATAATTTGCTTCTGATCCAGCAGAAGAATCTTCCTAATTTCAGAAAATATTAAATATATACTTTTAATAATTGTACAATTAAAACAACTACATTTAATTTTAAAATTTTAGGATTTACCTGAGTTTTATGTGGAGAATTTGGTTCGCTAGCATTACTGTCATCTTCATCAATAATACTAAACTGCTGCTTTTCCGCACGGAGAATCGAATTTCCAGTACTACTGTTGAGATCTATTAAATCCTGCACAATATATACGAAAAGAGAGTTATTTTGCAATTTTTATCATCGTTATTCCAACTTTATAGATTTTTATTTACCTCGGCAGCTGCCACATTATTAGAAGATGCAATTTCATTATTTGTTTTATTACCACTATTCATAAATGATGCATACTGAAATTAAATAAACAGCAACAGAAATTTTTATGATATAAATTAAATTACTTAATTTAAAATAATTGATAATCTAGTTTGAAAGCTGAAGCTACGTAAAATACATCCATCCTACAGCCTTTATCATTACTAACAAATTAAATCATCAGGAAATTTTTGATAGTTTAACAAATACATTCTGTAAGCCTTTCTAACAAACTTATTTTGTAAATACCAAAATAATTTTCATTATATGATGAGATGAATTCAACTCTAGAAGGTATTTTATGAATGATTTTACTCACAATATTTAATTATTACAATAGTTTAAACAGATAACATATAACTTTACACTTACATCTTCAAAATTACAAAGAATTAGTTTACTTTTAATGCTTTAGATTTTAACTGAGAGCTTACTTTATTCATTTTAAAGTAATTTATAGGCAATTTGTTGCCAAATAACAAATCAGAATAATATAATTATTAAATAGAGATCAAGAAATTTATTAAAGTTTATTTTGAAGAGTGTACAAGCCATTTCACTTAGTAATGGATTAAAAATAAATATTTTATTTTTTTATTACAAGGTTTTCCTTTCAGAAATTTCATTCTTTTATCTCTTCTTGTTCTCTTTGTATCACTTTACTTTAATGTTACAAATGTTATAAAGAACGCAGTCGACCTCCTTACAAAAACAAGACCAGAAACTATCATTTATCAGATCGAATTGATGCAGTTTTCTTCTCAAAGTCTTTGCATTCTGTTAAAGTTCTTTTAAAAAAAAAAAATGTGTTTTCTTTTCTCCGCATAAAGAATTTAATTCTTTTACACAAACTTTTTACACACGTTAAAAATTTATACAGTATTCATTATTCATTTAATGAATATTAAATGAATGTGAATTTGTTCATGTATAAAACTTTTATGAATCTAATTTTAGTCAGTTTTTTTTTTAAAGTTAAAAGTATTCTAATTTAATACTTTTAAAAAATATTTTCAAATGTTTCTTAAGTGAAATGTTGTAAACATAAGAAATGACAGAAAGAGCGTTTCCGAGCAAAGAAACACACAGAGAACCGACACCGACAGCGTGCACCCTTGCAGTTTTGCTACAAAGAATTCTTACTTGTTCTCTGGTCTGATTACCAGATTTTTCAGATGTTTCGCTTACGACAGAAGTTTCTCCGACCTGGAAGCATACTTATTTTGAATTATCATGAACTATTATCTCTATAATTTCTGTTTAAGTTTAATCAAATATTACTTAAAAGCAGAAAATTAAATTGTTATTTGAAGAGAGAAAAAGCACATTAGTCAAGTTAGTTTCATTTGTTACATTTAGTTAGTTTCATTTGAGAATTGTATAAGCTATATATAACATTAAAATGTAATTTCTATTAAGTAAACAAGCAAATAGGTTATTTAAGAACAGTAACTAGTCAGAAAAATATCATTTCAATCTTCAAAAAATCAAAATATTTTATTATTTTAAATATTTTTTGGCATAGTTTTAATTTTGTCTTCAAAATGAAAAATTCTAAAACATATTTGTCAACTTTGAAATAGAAAATGATGCTGGCAAATATCATTTGCTACTGCCTAGTAGATTTATTTAAAGTGTTTTTAGTGCAAAATATTCTTTTACCTTCTCCTTGTGTACTAAGAGGACCTCATTTTTCATGTCTATTATAAGTTTGAACAGGTCCATAATAGGGAGTTGGGTGGCAAGGAAATGAGCCTGACACATTCAAGATCAAAACATCCAACAATTCAACTCACACTTGAGACCCTCAGAGAGACAGAATGATGCCTTTAATGCTTTAAGTTAAAACATTGCATAACATAATTAACATTAAGAAAAATGAAATACAAAGTTAAGAAAATACTTCATTTATACATTTATTGTAATAAAATCAATATATATTTTTAATTGTTTATACTCTTTTCACCCTATAAGCATTGAGGCGAACTCTGCTTATTCCGCTGAAAGTCTGATCAGGTCCACAACAGAAGGGACGAATGATGAGAAGGAAACTAATATATTTAGGTCAGATTACACATGAAATTTTCTGGGCAAGTCCTTTGTCACAGCATACATGGAAATCAGTAACTACACTTTCCATGTGATTATTTTGCAAAATTAAGAAAATTTATAAATGATTATAAAATAGGGCTTATCTTTTATTAAAAAATCAGATAAAATAAGGCATCTCCTCTATGTAATATTTTATTTTACACTTGTTATAAGGGAATCAACAAATTAATTTTCTAGAAACAAAATACTTTCAATTAATGACACACAGAATTGTGTGCAAATTACCTCTGTACAGAAGATAGCTTGTTTATCTTATCTGCTTCGTTTTATGAAGACTTTATCACATTTTTGCTTATTTTTAGACAAAAATTACATGATATCATCTTTATCTGAGTAGAAACTAAGTGAAAAACACATTATTAAATATCCTATTAGTTTAAAAAAAAGAACAATGCAACTATCAAATACGAAATTTTGATTACGATTATTATGTATAGTCTTTTTGATACTTTTAATTTAATAACGTGTATGAAATACACTGAAGTTAATTAAAATTACACAATAAATAAGCACAGTGCTGGAGAATAGGTTTGAGTAAATTTAGTCATCATAAAATAAAACAAATATTTGAAAAATCTGGATTAAATGGTATCATCAGTGCTTTAATACTTAATGGAGTTTTTGTTTAAACAATAAAAACACCTGCAGTTAAGGAATAAAAATATGTCAGCTTGATTTTTGAATCATTACCGATTGTTAGATCTTACAGAAATAAGTATTAATTGATAAAATTATATCATTTACATAGATAGATTATGAGTATTTCTTCACATAAAGGTTAAAGAAGAAAAGAAATGCAGCCAAGATTAATAATTAAACCAATTAAACATTATGTCAGTATAAAAATGGTAAGATTATTTTGATACATTAAAGAAGATACAATATAGGTTTGCAATACTAGAATTATATTTTATAAAATCATTTTAAAATAAGAAATATATTAAATGTAAGTGAGCGCATAAATCACAAAGTGTGTTCATTCTTTAGCCTTGAAAATTCACTTTGTGACATAAATTACAACTTTTATATAAAATGTTACACTAGTTTGAAGAAGGAATATTGATAGAAAAAACAGGAAAACAATTTCCACATTAAATGAGTTTATAAAAAAAATAAAATATTGTAAACTGCAAACAAATAGTGAAAAATTGCGGCTAAAACAAGTTAAAAATATTTAGCTACGAAACAAATGCTTCTATTTTGTTTAACTTCATTCAAATCAACAGTTTTTCTATTAATATTATCTAACAAATTTTTAAAAATATTTTAAATATTTAACAGTTTTGCAAGTTCAATATTTAATATTTCTAAAAATGTTAGAGATTTGTGTATAGATTCAATATAAAATAATGTTTTTTGATATTTAAAAAATTAACTGCTATTTAAAATAAAAGATTTATAGATGTAAACATAATAGAACAATTTGCTATCATTTAATATTACAATAACACAGAAATTAATTATAAAAATTATTTTAAAAATGTATAATTAATTAACATAATATCAGAATAAAAAAAATACGCAAATGTGCTTTTTTTCATCATTGTTTTCCTATTAATTTCCATTACCTATAATATAAAGCTATGCCTACATCTACACAACCATGTTGCAGATTGTTTTGTTATTTTATTACAAACAACAGCTCACATTACAGCTGTCCCTTGATAGTCCGACGTTTTGTAATCCGACGCACCTCCCATCAAGGTACCCGTCCCCGTTACGTGTCTGCTTGCACAGAAGCATGTTGCCACGTGAATCTCTCCACTCAATTCTTACACAATGACACACATTTCATGTGTTTTCCGTGAGCAATTCTGTTCGAACAGTTGGAGTAGGGAATACTGTAGGCTACTGCTAGCAAAACAATGCCAAATATGTAATCACTTTTGGTAATCTGACACCCCTTTGGTCCCATACTTGTCGGATTATCAAGGGACAGCTGTATTTTTGTGAAGATACACAATCATTTTGATGTAAAATTGTTTTGTGCCATACACTGCAAAAATACCATTTTGCAGTGTATGGCACAAAACAATTTTACATCAAAATGCAGTATTTGAACAAACCAATTTGTGTAGTGAATGCAGGGTCAACTGCTTAGAGTGACCACTTCTACACACAACACTTAACACCTCAATACTACTTCCAGCAGTCAAAAGATTTTAATATTCTAACGTTTTCGGCCGTCTTTTAGAGGCCCTCTTCAGGATGAAACATTAAAAACAGTTCTATCTTTTGAAGGATTCTAATAATCGAATACAGCTGTGTTCCGAACTTTTAAATATTTAAACGATGCGTAAGATATAAAAATCGTTACGCTTACAAGACAAAAAATTATTTTAAAATAACGCTATACATAAATTATTATTGTAGAGTTGTGAAAATTAGCGCTATGTAAACACTGCTATACATTAAATATTATTAAATAGTTGTGAAAATTAGCGTGATGTAAACGCTCTGATTTCTTATACATAGCAGAAAGATTAAAAATAATTAAACTTCCGATTATTGTTGTGCCTTGTGGCAATGTAAATAATATTTCCACGATTGTGGAATCGGAATATAATCGGAGTTAATGCAGCTTCCCTTTATGGTTTCTCTATAAATCTCAATAGCCTCCAACGAGCGTAAGTCGTGTCGGTCAAAGGCCCTATGTAAAAGAGTAGCCTCATCCCAACATGGGGAAACCCCGGGCTCGGTAGCATACCGTGCTAGAGCCGTATTATACTTCTGCTTCGACACANAGACATTCAGTATAAACTAGTTTCAACTAGACAAAACGGGTTTTAACAAAGACATTCAGTATAAACTAGTTTCAACTAGACAAAACGGGTTTTAACAAAGACATTCAGTATAAACTAGTTTCAACTAGACAAAACGGGTTTTAACAAAGACATTCAGTATAAACTAGTTTCAACTAGACAAAACGGGTTTTAACAAAGACATTCAGTATAAACTAGTTTCAACTAGACAAAACGGGTTTTAACAAAGACATTCAGTATAAACTAGTTTCAACTAGACAAAACGGGTTTTAACAAAGACATTCAGTATAAACTAGTTTCAACTAGACAAAACGGGTTTTAACAAAGACATTCAGTATAAACTAGTTTCAACTAGACAAAACGGGTTTTAACAAAGACATTCAGTATAAACTAGTTTCAACTAGACAAAACGGGTTTTAACAAAGACATTCAGTATAAACTAGTTTCAACTAGACAAAACGGGTTTTAACAAAGACATTCAGTATAAACTAGTTTCAACTAGACAAAACGGGTTTTAACAAAGACATTCAGTATAAACTAGTTTCAACTAGACAAAACGGGTTTTAACAAAGACATTCAGTATAAACTAGTTTCAACTAGACAAAACGGGTTTTAACAAAGACATTCAGTATAAACTAGTTTCAACTAGACAAAACGGGTTTTAACAAAGACATTCAGTATAAACTAGTTTCAACTAGACAAAACGGGTTTTAACAAAGACATTCAGTATAAACTAGTTTCAACTAGACAAAACGGGTTTTAACAAAGACATTCAGTATAAACTAGTTTCAACTAGACAAAACGGGTTTTAACAAAGACATTCAGTATAAACTAGTTTCAACTAGACAAAACGGGTTTTAACAAAGACATTCAGTATAAACTAGTTTCAACTAGACAAAACGGGTTTTAACAAAGACATTCAGTATAAACTAGTTTCAACTAGACAAAACGGGTTTTAACAAAGACATTCAGTATAAACTAGTTTCAACTAGACAAAACGGGTTTTAACAAAGACATTCAGTATAAACTAGTTTCAACTAGACAAAACGGGTTTTAACAAAGACATTCAGTATAAACTAGTTTCAACTAGACAAAACGGGTTTTAACAAAGACATTCAGTATAAACTAGTTTCAACTAGACAAAACGGGTTTTAACAAAGACATTCAGTATAAACTAGTTTCAACTAGACAAAACGGGTTTTAACAAAGACATTCAGTATAAACTAGTTTCAACTAGACAAAACGGGTTTTAACAAAGACATTCAGTATAAACTAGTTTCAACTAGACAAAACGGGTTTTAACAAAGACATTCAGTATAAACTAGTTTCAAC